TATACTACTCTCTCTCTCTCTCTACACACACACACACACACACTTGGAGGAAAGCAAAAACCATAACGCCAACTATGCACCCTCAATTAGTGCCCAAATATGACATATAGAATGGCATCCCAGCAGCGCTTTGGGGCTCCTGCAAGACGCTCCCACTGATACTTCCAGATGAGGTGTAGACGGGAGTGTCGTCGTCGAGTCCACGGCGCACTCCGTTGCTGCATCCGCCAAACTTCCCCAAAGTGCTCCACCGTAAATCCATGGGATCCTTCAGAGGCCTTCAGCTCCGACTTCATACGTTCCGCAAGAGCAGCCTCTTCCCGTTCCATTGCCCGAATACGCCGTAAAAAATCAAAAATTGAGGATGCATCCTCGCGTAGCTGCCGTTCCTGTTCGCGGCACGACGACGTTGTGCGGCTGCGTTGCCATGGAAGCGTCCATCCAGACGTGCTTAGGGCCACACCAGGAGCGACAAACGAGGCCGCCTCCACATGCATGCCGTCCTGGCCGCTGCTGTTGCTCCTCGTATCGCCACTGTGTTGACGTGCACGCAGTGTGCCTCGCCCTTGTTGTGCGTTAGCCAACAGCTGCTGTAGGGTCTTGTATGCCTCAGTTACACTTGCCATGCGATCCGCCGACGCCGCCGGGCCACTTTGATCGGGGTGATGCTTCTTTGCCAGCTCAATGTAGCGCCACTTCAGCGTCCGCTTGTCTACAGGCGGTGCGGTAAACCCCATGACACGACACGCCTGGCTAATGCTAAGGGACATCAAAGGGCGTGAGCTAGCAAACATGTACTGCCGCCCGCACTGGCCCTACAGCAGCTCAGTAGCAAATCCCTTGACCCCAGCCTCAATCAAGGAAGACGCACAAGAAGCGACATTTTGTTCCCCCACGTATAGGGTGCGAACGCGGAGGGTATAGGAAGCAAACACATACGAAAAACATTTGAACCTTTTTTTGATTTTTTTCGGCGGTGTGTGTGGGTATACGTACACTGAGACATGTTGTTCCAATGTGTTAGCATGTCTCTGTTTTCCCCCATTTCCCTTTTTTTTTATTCCTTTGATTTCCCTCTTTTTCCTCCTCTTCACACCCCCCCCTCCCCACCTTCTTCATTCTTTCATTGCCTGACACCATGCACATAACCACAAGCATGTTATGTGGGAATATGCACACACGCACACAGCCAGGCAGACGGAGAATGTGCCTGAGCGGGGCTCAACGGACGACGAGGTCACAGTACCGCAAAGAGAACATCCACACCGAGCAGTTGATACATCCGTGAGATGACGCCGTCAGCACGACTTATCCACGCAAAAGTCGCGTCATTCGCCACTGCTCCCTCGCGCGGTGTGGTGTCCACCTCCAGCAGCAACTCTATAAAACGTTGGAGCAAATGCCCCGCACGCGCCGGCTCCCCGCAGAGAATGTGCACGAGCCCCACCTTCTGCCGTCGGGGCGGCTGCTCATGTGGGGACGGTTCCCATTGCACACGCGACATATCACCGTTGTTGTGTGGTCCCTGGCCCCCCTTCTCAAGCATGCGCAGCCCCTGGTAGTAGTTTAACACGTAGTTGAAGCTTGCAACATCAGCGGTGGCAATGAAGTCAAAGTAGCGTACCCCAGAGCGTGCAAGGAAAACTTCTGACTCAACGAACCCACAGCTAAAACCCGTGTATGGGATAATGCGATCCTTAACTTCGGCCACCAGCCCACTCGAGTCCGCGCCCGTGCCCAAGCTTGCACGAAAGTTTTCATCCCCACGAAGAAGGGACTCCGCGGCAAGCAGAACCTTGTCATCCTGGCTTCCATCAGACGACGGCCCCGCTGCTGCCAGCTGCACCTTTCGTGTCCCACTGAGGCCTGACCGCAGCGCCTCCCGCTGCCGCTTGGCATCAGTTGTGCTTGCACTGAGCAACAGGTAGTTACGCAGCTGCCCACAGCGAAGTGTGAGGTGAGCGAACAAAGTCGCCGCGGTGACTGTGCTCGTCGGATCGCCACCGTCCACAATGTGCATGTGGTAGCGAAAAGCTGTCATGGTTGTGAGGGGGCGTAGTCCGACGAAAGGTGTTTTCTTCCTTCAGGCAGCCGTGCGGTACGGAGACGCGGTCGTCGATGAGTGAGTGGGTTGACTTGAAAAAAGACCACAACAACAACACAACAACCGACAACAAAAGCAACGGGAGCAATCACCACTAAAACTGTTGGTATTGCTACTACTATTAATACTAATACTAGTAGTATGAGAGGTGCTGAGTCCTTGCTGAGTTCACAAGGAGAAAACGAAACAGAGGAGGAGGCGAGGAGGAAGAAACAGCAAAGAAGGAAAAAAAAAAAAACGTTCAGTGGAATACACACACCAAAACACACAAAAATGAAAGTGGCCCTCCCCGCCGGCAACACCGGCGAGACACGGCCAAATAGTCTCGCCGTCCACAAACATACGGGCATGCAAAAACATACATTTAGCCATACATGCTGACTCATTGCGGCAGCCTGTCGTGACGTGGCGGCAGCGATACAACGAGCGGAGCACGACGCTCGCCGTTCTCACCGGGAGATAGCAACACTGGGCTGCCTACTTTTGACACCTCTGAAGGCACGAATCCGCCTCGTTTCCGCTGAGGCTCGCTCACAAGAAGATGAGACTGTTCCATTCGCAATTCCCCTTCCTGACGCGGTATGCCTCGTGGTGCCAACGCCATTTCTTCCGTGCTACTATAGAGCTGGGGCACAAGCATCAATGGTGCTGTCATTGGCATTATTTTTGTCTTCTGCTCCTGTTGCGAAAGTGGAGGCCTTGTCGTGTGGCCCGAAGACTCAAATTCAGAGCTGTGCGATGTATTCAAATGTAGAGCAGCGGGGCTCTTCTTCTTTTTAGCGCCGCCGTTTTTTGGAAGCAACACCTCCACGAGGTTTCGTTGCGACGGTGGGGTTGTTGATGCAACGGCATCCCCTGTGACTGCACTAGACACCTCGCTCTGGTACAAGAGTGCCATCTGCGCCGCCTTTAACTTTTCATTCGTAACACGGAGTGATCGCTGCACTGCCGCCAACTCTTTATTTGCCTCACGCGTCTCCGCCTGGATGGCCACAAGCTCCTCAAGCACAGCTGCCGCCACGGCCTTCTGTGTGTCAATCTCTTTGGTATAATCTGCGCAGGCCTCTTCCTCCGTCTGTATGCGACTCAGCACCTCATGCGTACTGCAACGAATAGACATAAGCGTCTTCTGGTCCTCTTCCTGCCTCTGTTTTCGCCGCATGAAAGCCTCTCTGGATGCTTGTGAGGCCAACTGCGCCACGTGGAGCTCATCACTTTGACGCTCTCCTTGGCGTGTCGCCTCCTCCTCCTCTAGCTTTGCCAGACGAAGCAGCCGTCGCAGTCGCAGCACCTCCTCCTCCACGCTATTTTGCCGCTCCGTGGCGCGCTGAAGTTCGTCGTGGAGGAGTGTTGTCTCCCGCGCCGTATCTTCCATAGAGCGTTTTGTCTCATCGGTGCGCCTCACAACCTCATTCCGCAGAGACGTCTGTCGTCCAAGACTCTGCTCCAACTCATGAATGCGGGTTTGGTGTCTCTGCAGCTCCTCCCTTCTCTCTGCATCTTGGCGCTGCCGCTCCTCATGCTTGGATCGCAGCGCGACTACCTTTTCCTGCAACAACTCGACGGCGTCATGAAGGTCAACGCCGTCCTCCTCTAGTGATGCTTTTGCCTCCTGCAGCCTCCCTATTAGCGTGTGTGCCTCCTCCAAGGCATCGCCTTGTCGTTGTAGTTGTTCCTCCGCCTCGCCAAGGAGGTTGGCGAGCTGCACGTCCTTTTGATCCGATAGATAAATGAGGGAAGCAAGGGATGCCTCCGTATCCGCCCCTGCCCTGGCGAGAACGTCCACTACGACATCAATTGCCTCCTGCAGAGGCAGATTGTCAAGCCACTCCAGCGCGGGGTAGTCCTCCGCCGCCGGTGGCTTCACTAGATCCGTGACGGAGCCGATGGGAACATTTAGAGCGATGACATTTTCACTACATTCTGGGCGGGATCCCGTAGGGTTTATTTTTGTATGCTCCTCCGGCTGCTGCAGCATTGGCAGCTGCTGCACGACCCCGAGAAAGTGGTGAAGTGATGGCATCAGTCGCAGTTTCCAGTTATACGCCGCCTCGCGTAACAGACGCCAGAGACGACCATCCCAATTTTGCACATCGCCTGCGCAAGCCGTCAAGGAGGCCACTGCCACTCCGACCACCTTTTCGTCATGCAAGCTTTTCAGCGTAGCCTTCTGGAGCAACCAGAGTTCTTCCAGTTGTTCCTTGTAATCCAATTTTGGTTGCCCTCGCTGCTGGTGTGGTGTTGCGGCAGCGGCTGTGGCGGAGTCAAAGGTGGGTTGACCCAAAAGCTTCTCTCCTAGGAAGTCTGTAGCAGGCGCGTGACGCAAATCTCTACACAACTCCACCTGCTGCAGCATACTCCGTAAATCCTGCATGCGGCGCCGAAACGTCTCTGCATTATGGCTCTCAAGTCCGCGCAGTTCCTGCAGACTCTGCTTGGCCACCTCAATCCGTCGCTCAAGCTGCATCACCTCCATCGCCCCTTGGCTAGAAAGAGACGCCTTCGAGTAAGGGTGAAGGCGATTGGGTGACACGCCTTCGCGATCGCCACGACATTCTAGTGGTTGCCTCTCTCGGTGTTCATCTGGCGTCAAGTTGTCCATCATGAACGACGCGGCAACCGCGCTGCTCCCACGCGCGTCAGGTACCTCTGGCACGGGAGAATGACGGGCTCCACCGGGGTTCACAAGTGGTGCTGCGTCACTTAAGTGCCCTAACTCATGCTGCAGTCGTTCCCGTTGCTTCTGCAGGCGTCTGTTCGTAAGCACCTGTCTCCCCCACGCAATCAGTGTGGATGCCTCCTCCATTGTCATGGATGTTGTTTTTTTTTGCTTGCTGGTTGCCGCCCCTCCTCCTCCTGATCCTGCTGCTGCAGCTGGTGATGATGCCGAATGAACTCACGACGGCGTGCTTGCCCAGTCGGCCTCACAGCGGCCCACCCACACGCACCCCTCACGCGTTGCCTGTCGTAATGCACCGACGTCGAGGGGGCTGTACAATAAAATCGACGCTACGACACCCAATACACCGCGCGTCGTTGGGGGTGGGGGGTAGACAAATGAGCAGAAAAAAAAAGAACAAGCGGGGTAAAAAAAAAGATAAGTGAAGAGCAGGAGGGAGGCTAAAACATCCGCATCTGCCTCCCTCATCACCCGCAGCCGTCAACGCAATGACAGGGGCGGGACGTTAGGGAAGCTCAGGCGTCTGCGGTGAGGAGGGGTGGTGTGGGGGGACAAAAAACAAATAAAACAGGAAGAAAAAAAAGGATTTGTTTTTTAACCAAAATTTTTTTTAAAAAAGTAGAACAAAACGCGAGGATACAAAAACACATTTTATGCCGCAGAATGCTCGAACAGCAACTTTGCCCTCGCCGGAAAAAAAAAATAAGTAGAAAAACGCACGCAACAGGGGAGAGTAAGAGGATAAAAAAAAAACAAGGAAAAAACGGCGGCGAGCCACAAAGCAAATACATTGCCGGCGTGGAAGAGTGCCTTCTTTCTTGCTTTGTTTTGTTTATTTCTGTGGCCTTCTCCGTCGTATTGTCTCCCTTTAACGAGGCAGGCCGATGCGGCGCGACTGCCACGATGTGGGACCATTCCATGGGGTGCGGGAAACACACCCGCGCCCGGCGCACGCAGGGATAAATGAGAACGAAAGCAGACAATACTTCGTCCTCGCTGTTTCAAACACGGCGCCAAATGAGTCGCGCGGAGCACAACAGCTTGAACCCAAACCCACACGCACATGTCGCCGCTTTACCAACCTCTCCTACCAGACCTTTTTTTTTTTTTGCTTCTCCTTGTTCGTTGTAGCCTCTTATTGCCTCGTTTCTTTCCTCATTCCCCCTGATTTCCTTCTACGCAAAGGTGCCCTTCTCTTCTCTTCCCATTCACCGCCTCTTTTTGTTTTTGTGTGCATCTGCGCATGTGTTTTTTTTTTTTTGAGAATAAAAAAAAAAAAACGGGGGGGGGGGGGGGGGGGGGGGGTAGGCGAAACGGGATTTGATCACACTTGTCTCATTAAATGCTTCTGACGGACTGTTTCTTACTCTGCCTGCGTGGCCGCTGTGTATCTTTTGCATTTTCATTCTTCCCCTCATTATATTCCTCTTACTCCTTTATTCTTTGACGTACGCGTGTTTTGCACCTCCCCCTCGTCGTCGTCGATGATGTGCTCTCTCCCCCCCCCTTTTCCACTACGCTCGAAGTCACTCCTGCAGGACCACAAACACAAACACAAACCATACATATATATATATATATATGTGGGCAATCGCAATAACCACAAACACATGCACAAAGCAGAACCACACCAAAGGCAAAAAGAAAAAGCACACACACACACACACAAGGTGGAGTTGCAGTCAACACAAATGATGTGGAATGATGACTTTAAAACGTTGTTCGTCTTTACCTTTTTCATTAGGGTCCTCTGTTTTGTGAACCTGCCGCCATACTTTGTGGTTCCTTCTCTTTGCTTGTCTGTCTGCCCCATCCACCCGCGCTGGCCGTCTCCCTCCCCTGTATTCACACGGTGTTTGCTGCGCCCATTGGCACCCATGCATAAACACTTCCCTCTCCCTTTCCTTCCATGGCTCTTGGTGTGTGGGCGTCTCTGACTCGCTGGCTCCCCCCTCCTCTACTTTGTAGATAAGCAGGACGTGCTCCATAACAGTCTCACTGTATTATAATTTGTAGGCTTTTGGTCAAACATTCAACATGCACACATAACACCAACAACCACGAAATGCTGCCTCATCTTTGAATCATTGCTAATGTAAATTAGACATGCCAAACACAACCCTCACACCCACCCACACGCACACACAACACACACAAGTGTACAACCCGTTGCTCCAAAAAAACAAACAGAGAGAGAAAGAGAAAAAGAAGAAAAAAGAAAAAAAAAGACTGTTGCTATGCGTGTTTGTGTTTGGTCTCATTAATATGCTACTTCGCAGAGGAGAGAGCACAAAGACACGCACATACACATACACAAACACACATATACATATTGTGTCTTTCACCTTTTTTTTTTTAAAACAAAAAACAAAAAAAAATAAACTTCTCCTTTCCTTCTTTTACAGCTCTCTCCATCCTGTGTGTGTGTGTGTGTGTGTGTGTGTGTATGTGTGAGGGTTGTGCCTGTCCGGCTTCTTGTGGTGCATATGCGTGGACACGTATATTTTCGTTTCCTGCGCCTACTTTAGTTTGTCAAGCATGGCGGCATCCTTCCTGCCAGTCGCACCGTAATTCTTCGTGAGGAGCGTCTTAAATTTGTCCAGTTGGTCCCTTGTCGCGTTCAGTGAGCGAAGGGCCTTAACAAAGAGTAGGAAGCTGTTCTCGGGGGTGCGATCAAGGGCTAACCAGGTGACGTAAACCTCCTCTAGCAGCAGATGCAACTGCTTGGTGTTCACCAGCTTCTTCACCGCCTCCTTATACTCGCGGCAGAGGGCCTCCACATCAAAGCGCACAAAGGTGAAAATGGTGGAGACCATCGAAAAGGCCAAATGTGGGGTCTTTCCAAGGGAGTTTGTGCACATGAAGACTTCTCTGGAATCCACTTGCTCACAGAAGCGATAAAAGTAGTTCACATCGGAGTCATATTCACTAAGCTGTTTGAGGATGTCCTCGGAGTCATCCACGGGTTCGCCTGCAAGCAGTGGGGGTGTGTAGCGCAGCAGGGCTGGAAGGACGCGGAAGCGCGACCGCGCGTCTCCCTCCACCGCCCCCGGGGTCTCGCTCTGCAGCTTATGCACCTCTTTCACCATGCTAACCAGGGTCTTTCGGCTAGCCCCATTGTCAACAAGCAGGTTAAGGAATTCCGTGTGGAGCGAGGGTGGAAACACGTCGCGGCCACCTTTCACCACAACTGCCCAATTACTGAAGTACTTTGGGACATCTGTAAACAGGTCCTCCCGCACTGCATCACGCAGATGATTGAACAATGCCTTCTTCACATCCTCCACGGGAAGCACGCGTTTATTCGCCAGCTCCTCAAACAGTTCACCAAGTCTGGCACGCTGCTGCACGCACCGTGTGGTTATCATGTAACGATGAATCACCGAGGTACAATACGCAATGCGTGTCTCATCGGGGATGTCTGCCAGTAAAGTTATCACCTCCTCAGCGTTACTCGTAACGAAGAATTTATCCATCGCCGCCCAAAACCCATCCCGCGACGGAATTGGATTCATCGGGGGCGCTAGTACTAATTTATTCCGAGGTGGCGGCTGTGCCTCATGCCGCCGTTCATTGTCGTTGTCATGTGAAGACGCCGCCCTGGCGCCAAACGGCGGCTCCCAGTTGTTGTCTATCGTCTCTACAGTGTTGAGTAGCAAAAACTGCATGCGTCGTTTCGGGTGCGTGTGCATGAGCTCCTCCATCACAGCACGAAACTTGGGAACAAATTCCTGACCCTCCTTTGAAAAGCTTTTGCCGCATGTCAAGAGAAGATTCATGAAGTGAATCAACTCATAATCTGCCGGGAACCGACGCCTGCGTTCAGTGCCGTAGAGAAGCCACTCAAGGACGTGCAACACTACCTTCTCACGAACAAGGCCGTGAGTAAACAAAAGACCCAAAAAGTTAATATTGGCCTTTTGTTTTCCTGCAAAGATTAGACGACGTTGCTCGGCTTCCTCCTCAGGTAGCTTTGCTATTTCTCGCTCAAGTTGCACCTGTGCCTCTTCAGCGTTTTCAAACGTACTCTGACACTGCCGGATAATCGCATTGCGAATTAAGCGCCCTGCCGGCTCACCCTCGCCAATGTCATTGATAAGCGACACCACCAATTTCACGTAGTACGGAACAAAAATACTGTCCTCTGGCTGAATAGACTTATTGAAGATAACCTGAATAACATCTTGAATTTCCTTGTCGGTGGACTGACGGATTGGCAGGTTGGTAAGCTCCTTTTTCATCGTAGGCAGGTTGCCTTCACCCACCCTTCCCAGAATACCAAGCACCTCGTTGTGGAGCTTACGCTCAGTCATCACCTTGGAGGGCATGGATTCGCCCTTAAAAAAATCCTCGCGAGAAAGAATGTGCTCCGGCCTACTATCCTTATTCTCCGGCATCTCCCTCCATAACTCCTTGACAAATTCAAGAATACCTTTTGGCGGTGACTCCTTTGTATGCTGAAATTTGACAAACTCCGCTATATCGTAGATGCAGTTGGCTGGGTTACTAGGCGCCGGGGGCTCTGACGGTTGAGGCGGTGCCGTCCGATCAAAGAAGTTTGATTGAGGAGGCTGCAGCGACGGTGGCCGCTCGCTGCCAGGACGTGGTGGACAACCACGAAACACCCCCATAGTACGGTTTGGAACCCGTTGAAACGGCTGCTGATGGTGTGAGAGCGGTGCTGACCCCACACGGGGCGGTACATTTGACATGGTCTGATGATCCATAAACAAACGCTGCTTCACACACACAGGCAGGCGGGCAGTCAGTGAGAGGGTTAGGGTGATTGGGTGTGTCTGGGCGAGACTCGGAGTTGCTTACACCTCTATTCGGTCACTCCCCTTTTAGTTCGTTCTTCGTTCCCCTCTGTTACGCCTTTATCCCAATTTTGTTTTTTTATCTCTCTCTCTTTTCTTCGCTTCTCAGAAATATATATATATATATATATATAAAGTGGTAACGACGACGACGACAGCAACGACAAACAAACAAACAAACTCAGTGCTCTAAACCGTTTAAGCCTCCCGTAAAACTCCCCCTCCGCTCGTGTGTAATGTTTCTGTCACTTTCCCCTCTTGTTGTTCGAGTGATGTATGCACCTTCACAGGTTTCCCCTTCTTTTTTTTTTTGTTCTTCTTCCACTTTTTCTCCCTTCTTTCGGAGTCTCTTGATGTTCCCTTCTAAACTTTATTTGTTACTTCCCGCACGTCTCATGCAAAGTGGAAACTGCTCGTCACGCACCCAGTCGCCTCCTGCTTTGCGGACTGCACCCCCTCCCCACAACGGCCTCGTTTCCCTTCGGCGACGATACCAGCGAGAGCCTCCAATTAAAAACAACAACAACAACAAAAAGAGGTCCGCTGGCCTTTTTTTTCCGGTTTCCCTGCCGCCTTGCCTCAAATTCCTTGTTGTGGCTGTCACCGCTGCTCACAGCCCCGCTGACCCCAACCAGCGCTAATCACCCACCCACACGCCTCGCTCGTTCTCAAAACGCCCACCCTCCTCGTGGACCCTACAGACGCGTCGAAATGTCGGTGGTGGCCGCCTGCTTACCTCAAGACGCTTGGCCGCTGCCGCTGCCGTTAATGTTATGTTTTTTGCTCTTTTTCTGCCCCTCCGTGTCCCCTCTCCTCTCCGCCGCCTTGTAGTATCGGCCACAGTAATAACGAATGAGACGGGGTAGTCTCAGTTGCCTTGACTGCGCTTTCTTTTTTTTTTCTTTTTGCTTAATTTTTTTTTCTTTTTGTGTTTGCTTGCCTTCCTGTCTTCCTTTTGCCTTTTATTCCCTCCTTTTACGAGTGTCCTTCCTTCTCCCTCACCCGCACTCTATGTCGCGCGCAATCCTCCCACTCTTGCGTGTTCCTTCTTAAGCTTGCAGCCCTCAGTCCTCTCCCGCGCCCTCGATGTCCGTGAGACAAACAGATATATATATATATATATATATAGCTAGATGTGTGCAAGTGTGGCTGAATCGATGGTTACGTGTGTGGCTGTGCGCAACTGGGCCTTTTCAATTTCCCTATACAACGCACCAATCAAACCACACCAGCGAAGAACGAAAACAACAGCAGCACGAGCTGTGATGTATGTATGTGTGTATATACAGCAAAAAAGAAGACACCGAGAAAAAAACAACAACTAGCGTTCATATGCACATAAGAAAATAATAATAAAAAAAAGGCGGGATAAAGAAGGGTGAAAAAAGGGCAAAAGAAAAAAAAAGAAAGATCGAGCGTTGCAGCAGAAAAGGATGGGGACACAGTAATTAAGTGTAGACAACGCAATGGGGTGAGGAGGAGAACCCAAATAAACAAAAGGGAATACGTGCATATGCAGTCACCCACATACACGCCCTACGGCATTTTTTTTTTTAAACATCGTTCATGTTATTCAAACGAGGCTACATCAAAATCTACAAATGAACAGAGAGAGATTGAAAGATAAATAGGGGGAAAGCAAAAAAAAAGAAAAAAAAGAGACACTCTTATTATTAACATTGAAAGTGTTTTGTTTACTGCTGGTGTTCAGATAAAGCGGGACTCCGTTGGCTCCGCATCCACACAGTAACCTAAAAACACATATGAAGGGACATCTGACGTGGCAGATGAGCCACGCCAAGGCGGCAAGAACAGCCGTGCCAAACGAAGAAGTGTTGTCGCCTGTCTCTTCTGTGTGTTGTTCCCCACCCCTTTGGTGTCGCTGTTGTTGCAGCTGCTGCGTCTGTAAGTTCACATGCCTCGAATAGTAGCAGCGGGGCACAAAATAAAAACACACACACACACACACTGGGCGTAGGAACACTGACGGGTATTACTACTGCTTGAGAAGGAACATCAGAACGCACACGAAGCTGTCAAACGACACGGGCTCCTCCGTGTGCTCCTCTACGTGCCGCTGAAAAAACTCGCGGTGGCCGTCCATCCACAGTAACTGAACGGCGGGACTACGGTCATACAACGCGAGCACCGCCTTCCGCGTGAGCTCCCCGTTCTCAGAGCTGTGCTTCAAAGCCACGTAGAGCGCACGAAGACGAACGGGCCTCGTCAGAAGCAGCGAGACGTCCTCCGCCTCAATCACAGGCAGCATCCCGCGCGCGGTAGCCGTGGGCATCTCAGCAGCCACATGTTGTGGCTGTGGTGACCGCGGTTCCAACACGCTCTGAGAAAGCGGGGCGTCGTTCAGCTTGCTCTGTGACGAGAACAGTTGTTGTTGTTGTCCCTGCATCATGAAGGGCGACAACCGATCCTTCCCGATCTGCTCCTCCACTGACGCCAACAGGGGGCATAAGAACAAGTTGGACTTCATATTCCCCTCAATCGGTTGTGCCGGGGCAAAGTAGGTGTGTGTTGCCTTCTCCAATGCACGCTCGCGTAGCAGCAAGTCCAACTCCCGCGCACGGAGCAATTTCGCACGCATCATCAGTTCCATCTGCCCCTGTGCAAGCTGCTGCTCCAGCTGTTCTGCCTTCTTCTTCCACGACCCGGCGTCATCCGGCTGACCACGCCTCACATCGTCGTCTGTCTCCTCCTTTTCCTGCGTCTGGCCTGGCCCGGGCTGCCCCGTGTAGTACGAGAGGTGCGCCTGGGGGTTTGCCTTCTCAATACGTAAAGCCGCTGCCGGCTTAAAGGGACTGCCGTGCAAAGGGTGGAGTGCAGCACTCACCAGCTTGCAGTGCGGACGCACAATCGCAGGGGTGCCAGCGACCTGCTCATCATTCTTAGCGCCACCGGCCTCTGGCATGGCGGTATGGGCACGAACGTCCGCTGCAGAGTAGCGGGTTGCAAAGCCAAAGACGGTGGAGATGCAGTGGCTTGCCTCTGCCAAGTTAGAGGCAGCGTAAACGGCGTTGCGCACCAAATCTGTTCCAAGGCGTGCCCGGAGACTGTACGGTGCGACACGGCGTGCGTCTATGGGATTTTCCGGACCTACAATCTCCAACAGCTTCTCGACGGCATTATGCCTGGAGAGTTCCACCGCCAAACAAGTTCCACCGAATGCGAGATGTCGCACGTGCTCGTCAAGGAGCTCCTTGTAAGACATGGCCTCAATCATCGTATTTTTCAACACCATCCCAGTTACCACACGACGCTCAGGTTTATGCTCCTGCTGCATTCGACTGTCGGCTCGTCCTTCGTTCCCTTCTGTGCCGCGTCCGTCCGCCGTCGTCCTGTGCTCATCAGCTACGTTTGGTAGTCCAGCGTTGACCCCCTCCTCGTCGGTGTGCCGACTTGTGAGACAAATGATTTCCGCGATTATGCCTTGATGCGTTTCTTGGCTACGGTGACGCTTGATAGTGGCGCTAATCTCGCCGCTACTTGCGCTGCTCTGGGCACTATTGTGATCGACGTCTTCGTCTTCACCCCCAGCAGATAAATCATCTGCGGCGGTACCGTTGAGGCGATCTCTGTCCACCACATCTTTCCGCCGCCTTGTAGACAAGGACGCATTGTCGCTCTGCAAGGCCAATTTGTGGCCACTGAAGATTTTTTCCACGCCGCGTTCGGCGTATCTGCGTTTCCGCACACTTTGAAACTTGCTTGCAAGCTCCTCCGCCAGGGCAGGGGTAATAATGAAGGACTTCGCCAGCACTAGAAACCCGGCGTCAGAGACAGTTTGCAAAATGTAGCGGTGATGCTGCTCGGAATCCGGCTTGCAAAGCAGGAAGGCGTGCTCTACCACAAGTGTGGTGTGGGGCTTTGATGCCCCAATGTACATCCTTTACGGCTCCCCTCTGCGCCCACTCTAATCACCTCCACCGCCACAGTCACAGTCACGACGGTTCTTAGCGGCTTCTAGTACGAGTACCGCCGCGCGTTTCCTCCTCTGCCTCCCCCCAATATTTGAGTGCTTGCAACGGGGAAAAGAAGGAACAGGCGTGATGCCACCAGCACCAGTGATGAGCGCCGCAAGCGCAAGACACAACAGCCACCATTGCCGCATCGCGGGCGAGAGAGGTGCGACGCACAACGGGCGGGGAGAAAGAACGTGCGTGCGTGCGCGCGTGCCAAGCCCAACAACAGGCATCCGCGCGCAAACCTCAAGGGTAACGAAAAACAAGGCAAAACAACAAATTATGCTGAAGCACAAAAACAAAACAACGTCCCCCTCCTCACCCCCCCCCCCCACACACACACCCCACTTGCGTTCATGCAGGCAGAGAGAGTGAGTGAGTGAGTGAGTGAGTGAGTGAGAGAGCGGAGGAAGAAGGGGAATCAAAAACACAGAAAAGGCTGCACACGCCGTCTCCCCTCCACCGCGTTCTCACGGCAGAGAAATCAAAAGAAAAAAAAACAACAACACGTAAATAACACAATCTTCACAAGAGCATCGCCCTCGCATTAAGGCGCCCCCATCACGTCGTACATTCCCCTCCACACGCTTCTACAGATACCAACCTCCACACAATGCTCCGTCGTCACTCATGCATCTCTTTTGCCCCGCTCCTTCTAGATAAATATATTTCCCTTTTAATGACTTTATCGTGTCGTTCCTTTGAAGTTTCTCGCCGCCTTTCCTTGTCGCAGCCGCATTCACTATGGCAGCTGCGTCATGCCGCCCGTCCGCCCCTTAATGCCGTCAAGGATACCCTTGTCAATGAAGTTTACAATGCGCTGCTGCGTAGAGGCGTAATTAAATCCCATTGCGAGGCACGCCATGACTTCCGCCACAAGTTCGCCAGTGTGGGCGCCGCACTGCGTGCTTCCCAGCGCCTGCTTAGTGTTGCAGAGGTCCACCACCACGTCGTTCATGCCCATTGAGATGGCGGTGAGAACGAGAGCGAGTATCGAGATGATTTCGTGGGCGTAGTAAAGCGGCAGCTGCGGTTGCAGGCGGCACACCAGCACAGAGACGAAGGTGGCTATCGCAAGGAGAATAAAGGCAAAAATGCAAGCCACGTAGCGCTTCAGTACACCGCCACCCTCCTTTGAAATCGACACTGACCACGTCACGAGGAGCATAAACATTGCCACACAATTAAACACAATAACGAATAGGTTTATTCTACTCAGCAAGAGTGCCTTTACGTTGGCTTGATGAATCTGCTGTAGAACCGCCTGCATCTTTCCACAATATTTTGTGTCTTTATTTTGCCCTCTCCTATAATTCCGTGTCGTATCCTTGTTTCCTCCCTTTACGACTTTGTACTCGAAATGTATCAATAACCACTATTGCCTTGCTTGCGCTTTTGTGTCGCTGAACCACGAAACAAACGTGAAAGACGGGGTGTTCAAAAACACAGACCTTTTTTTTTTTATTGCGTGTGCGTCACTGCAGGAACACCACCACCACCACCAACATATATATTATATGTACGCACACACACACACACACGAAGACTCGCACTTATTGGCCAACTCCTCTGCTTCCTCCCCGTTGCCTTGTGCGGCTGCGGCTGTGCTCTGCTCTACGGGTGCCTGGCAACAGACATGCTGTTCCGCCCCCCCCCCCCCCTCCACGCGTCAAGGGAGACGCGCAATGGATGCGTCAACATATAACCAACGAGGCAAAAAATAAAAATATCCCAAAACCGCACAACGCACTCACCGTCACTTCTCCGTAAAACACGCACATCGGCACCAAAGCGGAGAAGGCATCACGCAATGGCGCACAACATCAGTTTTTTTTTTGTTTTTCGACTGTTTTCATGACAACTGCGTGCACGCACACATACTCTCAGAGAGAGAGAGAGAGAGAGAGGCGGTGCATGTGTTACATATCCCCCACACCACCAACAAAAGAAACAAACAAACAAAAACAAAAAAAAACGCAATGACACAATCAAATCTGTTGATGTGTGTGTGCGTGTGTGGGAACGACAATCACACGACACGTTAAAATCATAGCAAGGTGAGGAGGCCCAATAACACTACAAAGAAATAATGCAAATAGATTACGGTGTACATGAAAGAAGCCGTCTTACACCTGCCCGTTTATGCAGTTCAAAGGCGCACCGTAACTCTGCATACCGCTCAGCATTCAGAGTATTGACCCCAAAGCGCGGCGGGACGTGGCGCACGTACTCCCCAATATACAACTCCGGTGGCGGTGGCGCCTCACATTTCTCCGGCGCATAACCGGTGCGTAAGGACTCCATCAGCTGCAGCTGCTGCGGGAAAGAAAGCCGAGGGTAGGTCATAAACACATCACTGCGTAGCAGGTGAGGAACGCTGCTCAAGCTGCCCAACAGATGGTGCGAAAGAGCCTCCAGCATATCATTAAGCGCCTCACACGACAGCCGCGCGCCAAAGGTGTCAAGCACAGGGGTAAGGATAAAAAGTGGGTGACGCCGCTGCCAGAGGCAGATGTTGTACAGCCGTTGATAATGCGCAGGAGGAGGCGTCGTCAATAAAGGCTGGGGGAGAAGTGTTTTTGCCTGTGCCGCATCGATCCACCCGCGCACAATGTCACGCAGCTGGTGCAGGGCGGAGGCACAGCGAGCGAGAATGGGCAGTGGCCACTCCACAAGACGCGTCAAGAGCACCGTAACCTCCCTGTCACCCTCACCGACAGAGTGGAGTCGTTTTTCCTCCGCAACAACTATTAACTGCCGCAGCGCCGCACAAGCGAGAGAGGCGGGGTGAAGAGCGATGCACCGCAGCCCCCAAGGCGATGGGCGCATATCATGCAACAAATCTAGCGGGTTTTGCTGTGTCATGTTGACCCGCTGTTGGCGACTCCGTTTCTGTTTTTGTTTTTAAATTCTCCTCTCACGCCGTGGCGTGAAATCCGACACCCCGCGTCCCCAGCCGCTCCTTCTACAAAGTAGACACGTGTACGCAACAACAACAAAAAAAAAAGGAAAAATGTGGACAAACAAAGAAAAGTGGAAAAAGCCCAAGCAAACAAACATGACGGTGAATAGTGGCGGGGAAGGAAGTTGTCCCTACAGGGGCAATAACACCTGTCACGTCACGGCACGGCACAGCAAAATACAACAGCGACTCCAGCCATTGTGGCATGATGAATATATATGATGAATATATATATTCCAGGAGTCGCACACACACACACACACACACACACACACACAATGTAAACCAGCTTCTGCGACTCACGCAGCTAACCGTCGCGTTAATCTAAACGAATCACAAAAGCCGCTGCAGAAAGACCAAACTGGCAGCGACACGGCACGTACGGTGGTGTAGAGCAATCATCGTCGCTCTCATCCCCAGCCTCCTCGACTGAGAGTTCACACTCTTCCACAAGAAAACACCTCTCCGAATTATCAAGCAGAGATCGTTGCTTGTCGTGTTCCTCCTCCAATTCCGTCTCGTCGGGCTGCGTGATAAAGGGGTTATTGAGCTGCATGCCGCTCAGACGTCCCTAGCACCACTGGTACTCCTGGCCACCTTTCCTTACGCCTCTGCCTTGCACCCTCCCTTGTGACGTCCACGAGTGTCACTTGTACCCGGCGGCGGTGTGAAGCACGCGTTTTCGTCGGGAGGAGTCGAACTACAAACAGGGGACAAAGCCAAAGAACAAAAGGCAGAAAACAAACAAACAAACAAACACACACACACACAATAAAAAGGAAAACCAAAAAAAAAAAGAAGTCAACATCATGGGAGGCAGAACCGTGCGCCAAAAGTTTTGCTTCACAATCAGGCAAGAAACACACAACAGCAAAAGAAACGAGGAGGGAAATCCCCCCCACCTCCGCCCCGCTAGTCGTAGAGAAGCACGCCCACAGCAATTGCATGAAACAGAAAAATAAATAAATAAATAATAATAATAAAACACATATTCGGGTTACAATGCACAGAAGAGAAAAACGTACGCCTCCTCTGCAGCCGGCATCCCCCCTCCTTCTCCACGAAAAACCACGCCAAGTTCCTTCTCACCTCCTTGAAAAGAAAAGAAGAAGAAAAAAAAAAAACAATAACCACCCCTTCCACTGTTCTTCTTTTCTTCCTTCTGGCTTTCCTTCGCTGTCAGAAGTCTTTTCATGTCCAACTCACCCCCGCCCGCCCAGCGGTTTCCACGTGCTGGTTGCTTCTCCGTTGTCTCTTTCTCGTGCTCCCGAATCCCCTTGCGCGTACGTGTTCCTCAAGTGTCTTACCAAAGAGTTCTATTTGTATTTGAGTCGTGCGTGTTCTTGTGTTGAGTGATGGGCGACGAGAAACAGCCGCCGCCTTGCAACGGTGGAAAAACACAACCCGCCGCCCGACAGCCCTCAGACATGCACTCGACTCTCTCCAAAAGACAAACAACAAAAACAAACAAACAAACTCCACTTCCCTCTTTTTTTCACCCCACCGACAGTCTTTCTAAGGAAAAAAAAAAAAAAAAAGACACATCGCGGGAAAACGAATAGCTGACAGGGAGAAACGAAGCTCCAGACACAAGTAATATTCAGGCACTAACACAAGCGTGACGGCCTAGCAGTGAATACGTGTGCACGGATGTGTGGACGGATGGGTGAGTGTTGGCGTAGCTGAGTGCTGAGACCCTCTTTGTCGTAGCTGCTCTTCGTTTTCTGTTGTCGTGGTTGTATGTTTTGCTTATAGTTACAAATATTCCCTTCGCATGTTCCCTTTGTTTTGTGTTTTCTTTCCCTGATTCATTGCAGCTGCTTGCTGACGATTTTTTTTTCTTTTCTGCTTCACATCCTGTACTTCTATAAGTGACACACACGCCCAGCCCATGTATTAATTGTTTCGTTTGCTTGTTTGTTTGTCGTTCCTTCTTCTCACCGTTGTTTCTCGTCGGAACGGCGGCAGCGGCCATGCCGAGGTGGAGGAGCGAAAAGGGCGAGGAGGGGGTGGGGGGCGGTGGTGGTGACTTGAAGTAACCAATGCGGGGTGAGCATAAGGCGTTAACAAATATTTCATAACGAAAAAAAATGAAAAAAACGGGCGCGCATGCGTGCATGTGCGTGTGTGTGTGTGTGTTATGTCTGTGTAGGTGAGCAAAGCATGGAAATAAAGGGGTAATATAGTTGTTAAGCATAACACCAAGTTTTTGTTGGTGTTTTTTTTTCTTGTTCCTTCATATTTCTTTAAATATATATATATACTTTTTTTCTTTTTTAAAAAAAATCGTTACCCCCCTTTTTGTTATGCCTTGCTTTTTTACTTTCTTCGGCTGCAAGTGCGCAGGTATCCCCCATGGTGGTGGCCCCGCACATAACCACACGCACACACACAGACACACACAGACACACACACGCGGATGTGTATATGCCATGCATATACATCCCTGTGGATCTGTACCGCCCCCCCCTCCCCCTCCCCCTTCCCTTCTTTTCTCCTCTTTCTGTTTTCCTGCCCGTTGATTTTGGCGTGTTTCTTAGCCCACTCACCTTTCCTCTTCGTGAGTTGACATGAAACAAGCTTTTCCCATGTGTTGTCTGACGTGACGGGAGTGTGTGTAGGAGGGGGAGGGGGAGGGGGAGGGGGAGGGGGAAGGGGAGGGGGAAGGGACCGGATGGAAATGTTAAGTTCCTGCGGATGGTGGTTGATGGTGGTGGTGCCCGCTGGTGCCTCCTCGGAATGCCTCTTTGTGCCGCTCGCAGCCACCCCATCCTCCTCCAGAAATACCGTCGCCTCCACATGTTTGGTCGTCGTCTCTCGTGCCCCCCTCTTCGTCCATTCTATCCCTCGTCGTGCTCTCACTCTCCTCCAAAAGATACAGATGTACGTCAATCCTCCAGATGCATCTTCCCCATTCCCTCAGCTGCCTTATCAACTACTTCCGTTCAATATATATATATATTTTTTTTTTGCTTCCCTCTTTTTCTCTCTTTTGTTAAACTTCAGTTTAATGTTTTTTTATTTTTTTTTCCCCCCCCCACCTCCTCGTTTTTTTTTCTTCTTAACGGCTGTGCTTGTTACTTTCCACCTCGCTTCTTTGGGCCAGCGGAGGAATTCACAGTACCGGTGTTGCCACCCGCCGTCTCGCCCGCGCCGTCGCCAGTGTCACCGCGTTGGGGTGCGGCACCACCGCGACCACGCTGCAGCTTCGGTGCGTGCTTCACCTCTGCGGCGGGGTTTGGTGTGCTATCCACGGTGGACACCGGTGTAGGGGCAACAGAAGTGTTAGCGTTAACCGGTTGCTGCGGTTCTACACGGGAGGCACTGCTGCTCTTTGGCTGCCGCATGTTGCTACGCATAGGACCTGGTGGGGCTCCCTTATTGGGTGGGTAGTCTTGCATAGCTGCGTTGTTTGAATGCTGCTGCATGTAATTGCTGTAACCATGAAACGACTGCTGCGGCGGTTGTTGGTGTTGGTGTTGGTGTTGGGGCTGGGGCTGATGCTGATGCTGCTGATGAAATGACGGGGCATGCATGTGATGCATTGGCATCTGCTGGTTCGGATTTATGCGCCCCCCCACACCTTGATAGGCTCTATGATGTGCTGGTATACCCTGCTGCTGACCCATGTACATCTGCGGCGTTGCCCCCATGTTCGGTGGAACAGCGGCACTCTCGTAGGTGTGTTGCGAATATGACGAATCGTCCTGGTCGTAGTACATACAGGTACCGGGCCAATTAGAAAGGGCCGTGTAGCACTGGTTGTTGTTCATGATCGCTTCGGCCAATGATGCCATAAAGTCAAGCACTGGTGCATGAGCGCCTCCAGGCTTCATAGGCGTATACGGTGGTGCCGCAGGGTTAAATCCAGGAGACCTTGGGTGGTTATCATGCTGCATTGAAATCTTATCCTCATCGCCCCTTCTGTGACGCATCGTATTATCTTCTACCCCCATCCCTGCTGCTGTGGCGGCCGGTGCAATTGACACTGGAGCTGAGGCTACCGGCTGAAGTTCTCCGACAGCCTTCCGTGCAGCAACAACGGCAGGAGTGTATGTTTTCTTCTTCTCCTGTGGGCGCTGCACATCCGAGTGGAGTGCGCCCTCATCCATGCCCCCATCATCCTTCAACACCTCCTCACGCTCCATTCGGTGGGCAATGCCACGCGTCGCGGAGACCTCGATTTCACGAGCAACACGATCCGCGTGGGCCCTTTGTTCCTCTGTGATCTTGCTGTGATCCAGTCGAGTGGTGTAGATCTCCTCCTTATAAGTCGTCTTTACCCCAAAGTTCTTCTCGTTCGTCTCGAACTGGTCCCACGCCCCTGTTTGGTGCTGTTCACTGTCCAGCAGTTCATTGGCACCCTCATCGGCCCAATCGATTTTGGTGGTGGCGTAGTCGCTGCGAGTGGCTTCCGCTCGGCCAGGCACTTCTGTTCGAATCTTTGCGTTCTGCACCTCCACCATCACTATGTCCCGGTATGGGATGCTTATGTCCTCCTCTAACTCCAAGCACGAGGGGTCCAGCGACTTGTGCTTCGAGGAGGGGAGGTAGCGAGTGCAGCCAAGCAGAATGCCCGCCTCCGTGTCTGCGTCAACGTCTGTGCGTGAGACGAAGATACCCTCCAGCGCCGAGCCATCTACCAGGCGCACCTGAACCAGCTGACCAACTAGGTTCAGGTATAGGTACTCCAGGCGGTCCGCGTTGCTGCTAAATGTCGCGTCCATCGAAATATGACTAGACACCCTTTTGCTGTTGTTATTGTACTCCTGCCTGTTCCTGCGTGTTATCGTTGCTGCTGCTGTTCTTGTCTTTTACGTTTTTTTTTTTCGTTGCCTCTTTAGCTGTTCCTCCAGAAGGCTCCTCACTTCGTCTGACTGGCACTCTCACAGCTGAACAAGCAACCCACCCCTACCTTGCTTCCTTAGAAACGCGTGTGCTTCTACCGTGCGTAGCGGCGCACATTGCAGCCAACAACACGCCAGAATAAAACAACAAGAGAAACAATAAAGCAAGACGGCAGAACTTCATGCAACCACGAAAAGCGAAGTGACAGAAACACACAGACACACACAAAGAGAGAGTGAGGAAAAAAAAAGGGGGGCGGTGGGGTGGTGGGGAGAGAGTAGATGGCAACCGCAATCCTTTTTTTTCCCCCTTCTTTTTGCTATCCTCTGCTTTCGTGGCGTTGTTCGTGCTTGCCCCACCTCCTCCCTCCCTTCCTCTACAGGAACTTCTCCAACGTCATGGCCTGCTTGTCAATGCGCTGCAGGGGAGGGTAGGGCAGCGGCCCGGCGCTCCCAAAGAGCACGCCCTGCAGCTCTTCACGGTCGTATACTTTATTTCGAATGTTGCTGAAGTCGTGACGCTCAGGGTCGGTCATCTGCGGCACATCGGTGTATATCTCTGGTATGACGCGCTGTTGCTCCGCAGGTGCCAGCCGAAAGGGCACCTCCACCACCTCCCAGTCCCGCTGCTTCCACCGCTTCCGCAGCGTCTGCTGCGCGCACCAGATGTCAACGTTAAACTGCACCGTCCGCAGGTCCTTCTTGAAGCGGCGGCCACTCTTCTTTATGTTCACCGGGCCAATCTCCCGCAGGTACGCCGTGCGACCTCCAAACCGGTTGGCGTCATGCAAAGGAAGAGTGTTGAAGGTGTGCCGACGGCGGTTCTGAAACGGCAAATGATCGAAGACACCGGTCGAGATGGCCGCCAGACTGCAGTGAAGCACCGTCGAGCGGCAGCAACCCTGCCCAGACCGCACAAGACCGCAGCCAACACGTTGCATCGTGCTCTCGCACCACCGCCGCCTTCGCTACACCCCCCTCGAAAGAACCACACACACACACACACACACACACACCTGCACAAATGTCAATCGTTTGGTCGTGGGTGGCGGTGGCAGGAGCCGATGCGGGGTTGTTTGTGTGGGGACGGAAAGAACCAACAAGGGGGTAGAAGAAGCAGAGCGTGGGGCGACGACGTCCGTCCAACAGAACGTGTGAATAGGAAAATTTATTTCTCGCTCTTTTTTTTCTCTCTTTTTTCCACCCGGTTTCCTTTTCCATTTTTTTTTTATTTGGTCCCTTTTTTTCCCTACAGCTTCAACTTCCATTCCACGGCGCCCGATGCATTATTACGCCCGAGCAAACACCGCCGGCTGGGAAGGCATTGGGATAGGGACAGGGGGGTGGCAGTGAACCGCGAGCCCACACAGACTGCTTAGCACAGACGCACTCGGAAAGATGCATATTTGGTCAATCGCCGTCACAGGCAAAAAATGCGGGCCCCAAGCAAAGAAGAGAGGGAAAGAAAGAGAGAATAAACGAGATATATATAAATATATATATATATATATATATTTAAGTGCATATGGTCACCATTTAGCGACACCCTCCAAGGACTCCACAAGGGTCTCGGAGAGGCAACTAAAATGGCATTTGCCTACGCACACCTCTGACTTAGCTTGTAGCTCGTGTTTGCTTTCCTCCATGCATATTAGTCGTCGAAGCAACTGCTTCGCCTCCGATGCCTTCTCCCCTGGCAACAGCCGCACCAAAGCCCGCATGGCTCGAAGGCTTATCATCATTGCAACGTAACACACCCACTCATGAGTGCAGCGCGCCTTCCAGGTGGACGCGGCACGAACCAGCAAGGCACCAGGTGACTTGCTCGCTGCATGAGCATCATGAATTGCAATTACAACATGGGCGGCACACCCACGCACAAGCCGCATCGCTTGGTGCGTGTTTGCGTTCCTTTTCGTCTCCAACTGGGACAGAAACACCAGAGCCAGCTGCAACGCACTCTCCACCGGATGTACGCTGGACATGAGCTTCAGCGGCATGTGCACAGATGCCCCCTCGGCTGTCCCAAGGTGTGTTGTCCACTGCGACACAATCTGCTCCGCCCGGTGTTGCAGCGCGGCATGATGTGCGGCGCAGGTAAAGAGCCGCAGCACTTCCCAGTCCACTTCGTCAGTGCTGAAGCTTAGCTCTGCCGACTTTCGCAGCATGGAAAAGATGTGACGACCCTTTGCCACGTCTGCCTGCTGACCACTGAAGGCAATGTGGCTAATCTGCCGCGCGGCGTACGTCCTCAGGACGGACGCCAACTGTTCCTTTGCCTCACAGTTTGTAAAGGCATCAACCGCGTGGCGGAAAAAGTTTTCCTCCTCCTGTGATAATGCCCGCACCTCCCCCATCAGCAGCGGCCGCTGCAAACTCAGCTTCATTTCCGCAGGCACAACACGAGATTTAAGACGTGTCATGCGAACATACACCTCACCCAGCGTCTGCTGAACGTCGCGTATCGTGACGGTTGCGGAGGAGATGCAACACTCACCAAAAACTGTGCCTGCCGGGGCCTGCTGCATCGCATTGAAGAGAGACTGCGCCCGATGCAGCGACTCGAGCGCCTTGGTGTAGCGGTCGGTAAGGAAGTAGTGGTGCCCCACATGATAGTACACCTGTGCCGTCTTTGAGAGCAGCCGCTTGGACTGGAGGCCCACTTTTGTGAGAAACCGAAGAGCGGTGAATGAGAGCGACACCACATCCGGCGTGATGGCTGACAGCCACGCAAGCGTTGACTCCCCTGCGACGGACGTCTGTGTGTTGTTGTTGCTGTCGACGTCGTCGCAGTCATTCTTGTGCTCACCGCTGTTACCGCTGCTGCTGCTGCTGCTGCTGCGACGATGACAACGAAGACGTGCCTCCTCGCGTGCTTTGATGCGCCGGCTGAGTTCCAGCAGCACCTCCGCCGTAAACGGCGTCCGGTCACTCATGACAAGAAGCACAACGTCGGTGTAGAGCTCCCACAGGGTGGCCTCAAGAGGGGTCACGTTAAGCAAGTCCGTCCTCGTATCCACCAACGCCAGTGTCTCCACGTTGTTGGTGGCTAGCGGCAGGCCCTGCGTCAAAACTGCATCGCTTTTCAACATCCGGCTCATCTGCTCCAGGCGCAGGAGACCCTCCACGACGACCTGCAGAAGATCCTTCGCGATAAGACTGTGAATGTGCACATTACTGCCACGATTACTCTCCGTCCGCAGCCGCATATACACACGTCGCTCCGCAGCAAATTGTTCCATAGCGCGTGCAACGCACACACATACCGCGGCACTACACGGCAGAAGACACCGCAAGAAAGCCCGTCGTGTGGCAACGCAAAGAGCCTCGTCGTATGCGGCCTCCTGAAGGCGCACCTCAAAGCGGCCACAGGTCAGCAAGGCTTCTCGGTAGAGCTCCGGCAACTGAATGATGCCTCCTTCCTCCTCAAGTGCTGCTTTTTGAGTGTCAATCATGCGACCGATAAGTCCAGGGAGGCATTTGACGATTTTGCACACATGATTGCACGCCTCATCCATCTTCGCACGTTGCATGAAATATACGGCAAAGCTGCGTAGTAGAAGCGAAAGGGCGTCCGGCGCCTTAGTCTCTGAGTCTTTTAGATGCATCCCCATTCGAAAGCACATAGTCGCCAAACCCCAATTTAGCCGCTCGTTCTCTTCGGCGTGCAGTTCCTCCTTTGTTTTTGACGCCTCAATATTCTCCTCAACTCCCTCTTTCCCGCTGTCATTGGGGGATCCAGCCTTGTTTTTGGCGTTTGTGGTGCTCTCCCCCTCCCCCGCGGCATCCTCAGGGAGAAACTTCTCAAGACGCTCGTCTCTGGAGTACTCGTAAATCTCCAACAGCCCTGACTCGTAGTTGCGTATGACTGCGTACGTCATGCCGTCCTTGCCACACTGCTTAACCAGCCACTGCAGCACATTCATCGTGAAATTCATGGCGGCCGTGGCCATGTTTCCCTCCACAATTCCAAGCAACTCCTGCACTTTTCGCACCTCATAGCGCTTAATAATACCATCGTTATGCACGTAAATGCCAACCTGCGGCACATTCGCCAGTGTTGCGTCAAACCAGCACCGCAACGCATCTCGCTGAATCTCCTGCGGCGTCATGACAACCGAAGTATCCTCTAACTTTAGCACAGACTCCGTATTGTCCCTGCGGTCGATCACAATTGGGGTATCAATGCCCACCAATACCTCCATTAACCCAATCTCCCATGAGAGGATGTGTGAATACCGACTCAGCGTTCGCGTTTCCTTTAAAAGCGCGAGTGACCCAACACGGTGTGTCGGCAGTGTCACAACCCCACCGCCCGCAGCACTATAGCTGACATTGTTCATTTCCATCCGAGAGAAAACATCGTTGTGAATGCGGTAGAGCGCTTTACCCAGCAGTGCCTTCTCGCGCATGTCACGCACCCTGGTGCTAAAATCCTTTGCACTGTGTGAGTCTATCAACAATGTGGGCCCCATTCGTCTCACTTCCAACGCGAGTGGCTTCTCAGGGTAGTAGGTAGATTCAAACACACTCCTCAGCGTCTCCCCTGTAGAGAGCAACAGGACGTTCTCTTCGCCACCACGCCATTCCTGCACGGCACAGGAAAGCAAGGACCGCTTCGCTGCGTTCTCATCACGTTCAAAGCCAGGAGCGTGCTGATGCACATTGTACGTTGTGTCCGGAAGCAGGTAATTCCAGGTCGGCTGATCCAGGTCGGTTCCAGGCTGCATGGGCCTTGTCATGGGAAGCGGCGGAACCCCCTCCACCCGCCGCACATGAATGCTCTTTGTGATACTGCTCTGCATAAGGGTCTTTAAGGGCATGGACCCACCTGGATTTCGCTGCTTGTCGTCCTTCAGCACAACAAGCGACTGCTCCTCTGCAGTGTAAAGCGACGAGGAGGCAGGCGGTGGAGGCGGTGCGCCATCTTGATTCATCGATTCCGCACACGTCTGCAACAACTCGGACGGCACTGTGCGGAAAAAAAAATCAAACTCCCACTTATGTATCAATGCTGGTTTTGCCAGGGAACCCGCATGACTCAGTGCTACGGCGGGAACCTGCACACACCCGTCGTGGTTAGAGGTGGCACTTCTTTCACTACCGCCTCTATTGCTCTCACTCGTCTCGTTAGGGCTCAGCAAATTCCCATCGCGCGCTTCCGCCAACCGTTTTTGTTCCTCCTTCTTCCGCCGCTCATTAAACTTCTTCACGGCCTTCCGGTGCAGTGCACGTCGAGACATCCGGGCCGTATCCATGGCGCTGCTGCCCGCACTGCCACACCAGTGGCTCACACCATCCGCGTTCCCTGCGACATCCTCATTTTTGCCTGCCGCCGCGAGGGCTGCGTATGACATGACTGCAAATTTTCCGCAGGGAGAAACGAAAAGGAAAAGAAGAAGGCAAATTTACGGTCCCACGGGGACTGCCTTCGGCGGCGGCGCTGGCAGACACAGTCAGAGAGAAAGAGGTGCGTGTGTGTGTAGGGGGAGAGAACAGAAGCGAGAATGAGGGATGCGTTAAGAGGACACGGCCTTCGCCACGTCGGAGGAGGGGGGAGAAGGAGAAAGAAGGAAACAAACAAACAAACAACCACCGGTGCTACATCAGCAAACAATGGAGATATGTGCAAAAGCAAAAACATCAAACAACGTAACTGGAAGCAAAACCCATTAAACAAACAAATATAAATAGTCATAGCAAGCCACAAACAAACAAACAAGTAAACAAACAAACGAATAAACGACACCGAGATCCTCCAAAATAGTCAAACCGTCTGGAAAAAGAAGAAGACAAAAGAAGACGTATTTCCACCATGCATCTGCATGTTTATACATATAGATAAATATATGCGTGCATGCACGTGTGTCGCTAAGCAACTGATACTTTCGCCACCACTTCCATCGGCACCGTCATCCCTTCAACAGTCCTAAGCACAACATCTCAAATTGTCATGACACGCTCAATATTGGCGCGGCAAACAGGGCAGCAGTTGCTTTGTTGAAATCGCAACACGCTGGCGCACTCGTGGCAAAGACACATGTGGCGACACGGCAAAATTGTTGTGTTTCTGGCACTTGTCAGGCAAATAACGCAGAGATCCATCTCCTCTTCACCATTGCTATCGATAGTGTTGTAGTCGCCACCAAGGTCATACACGTCAGCTAACTCGTATACTTCTGTGCCGTGCTGCAGCAACTGCTGCACCATCTTTGCCTCATAGACCGGCCGCGTTTCTCTCTCTGAGGATTCACCTTGTGGCAGAAACGGCAACGTTGTATGCCCTCGTACACCGTCGGGAATGTTGAGAAAGGTGTATTGCGCTATCCTCACCGTGGATGGGGGTGAGGATGTGCAACAGGCGGCACTGAGGCGGTTCCCGTCAGCCCCACACTCCCGCCTTGAGATGGAGACAGGAACAGCATTGCTTGCGCTGAGAGCGTGTTGAGGGTAAGAAAGAGCCTCATCCGCAGGTGCCTCGTACAAAAGCTCAATAGCAATAGGTGCGTACACCAGCCGCCTTACCCTGTTCTCTGCGTATCTGAAGTTTGCCTTCCTCAGCCGCTCAATGTGTAGAGGTTCGCTAACCACAATCTCCTCCTGGAACTCCTCTGGTGAGACATACTCAAACAAACAAAAAGGGTTCTGACTTCGCTCCGATTGCATCAACAACACCCCTTCTCCAACGTGGTACTCAATATCCACGCCGGCAAGCACCCGAAGCGTCCGCCCCGGCTCCAACATGGTAATCGAAAACGAAAGCAAAAACCCGGCCTCCTTGTTCTTCGGGTCAAATTGCGTCAGCCTAAACGACTGCCGTGACGGAACGGCCACTGGAAGATGAATCGTCTCAGCGCGGTCAACCCCTTCAGCATCGTCCACTTGATCGGTGTCAAGGTGGAAGATGAGCGGACCTGTGATAGGCGGCTGACCAATGTAGCGGATAGTTGGCCTACCTGAGACGAGGTAAAATGTTTTTGGTCCCCCAACTAGATGCTGCGCAGCCGGTGCCGTCTGCCGGTTCCCCATTCTATTCCACTCTTTCCCTTCTTGGGCCTACTTGCTCCTCTTTTCTTCTTCGTTGTTGTTGCGGTTCCCCCCTTCTCCTTTTCTCAGCCTTGTGTGTTTGTGTTTCCCCTTGTTGTGGGGTGGCTTGATTCCGCTCCCGTTTTAAAAATTTTTGTCCGCTGAGCCTTTCCGCCCAGACCGTCGGAGCACCTGGTACTGCTTCCAGCGAGGAAGAGTCGGGGAGGAGCACACGGGGATGCACCGCGGGGGCGTTGGCAGGCAGTAGAAGACATCTGCACAACACCGGAGGGTGAAAAGGTGAGACAAAACGTACGATCAACAACAACAGCAGCATTATAAAAAAGAAAAAAAATCAAACAAACAAACAAACATCCGACTGTGCGGGAGGGCATACATCCGTCTCTATCATACATAAACCTCTCCTGCTGGCTTTCTGAACGTAAAACAACAAACATCAAAAGCATTCCCGTAACCCCACACCCTCTCCTTTCCTCTCCAGCCTCCAGCCTTCTCTCCATGACAGACGAAACTTGGAGAAGGGTGACGAGCAGGAAGGGGATGAAAAAGGGAAAAAACGGAAAGATAGAAAAAGGTCAACGGAGGGGGACAAATAATCAGAACCCCCCCGCACACACGCAGGCAATAACAACTGCTTCAGTCTACCGTCGTTATTGCTGGTGGCGATGCTTGTAGCGACCGTCTTACTACTAGTATAGTAGTCATAAGAAAAAGAGAAGCGTCTGGTCCTTGCAGTTGGGGCATCGGGAGAGCGTGGAGGGAGACATTGGGTCACATAGCACCCCGCACCCTGATTTTCTTCATCAGCGCCTTTGAGTATTCCTCAGGTACACCTAGCTCCTCTAACTCTGCCAGCTTCCGCTGACGGATGGCCTCGATCGCCGCCTCACGGTCCCGCATCTGCATCAAGATTTGATTGCCCTCCGCCACATGCTCTTGACGTTCGTGGCGCCGGCGCTCCTCCACCTCCATGATCTGCTTAAGCACTGCAAGGGAATTTTCTTCATGCAGCTGCTGCGCCCGCGCCTTCCTTTCTTGATCCTTCTCAAGCGCAAGTTTTTGTATAGCGACGATGTGCTCCAGCTCCTCCAGCTCCTGCTGGTGTTGCTGCGCCTTGATGCGCTTGCGCTCCTCCATCTGCTGCTCGCGAACGTGTGCCAAGTCTTGCAGGATGGCTCGTTCGTGTTCCTTCCGCTCCTTCTCCTTGCGTTGCGTCTCTCGCGCATGTGCCTCTTGAGCGCGTTTGGCACGGATTTCGTCCAGTTCGGCCTGTTTGTCCTGCACCCGCTGCTGCTGCGCCCGCACCCTGGCAATCTCCCGCTCCTTTTCCTCGCGTATGCGCTGCTGCTTCTCCGCGAAACGGCGCTCACGTTCCTCCTTCTCCTTTATGTACTCCGCTACACGTTTATCCTCCGCTAACTCCAGCTCCTGCTGCCGCTTCTTCAGCTTGATCTGCTCCGCGTTGGAAAGCGCGGCGTCTTCCATAAGGCGTCGTGCGGCCTCTTGCCGGCGCAGCTTCTCCGCGGCTTCTTCCTCCCGCAGCTGCTCAATATGGCGCGTCATCGCCTCCTTCTCCTGCTGATGAGCCTCAAGCTTCTGAATTCGGTCAATGTCCCGCTCGTCTAGCTGCGCCCGGATCACCGCCAGGTTCTTCATGCGGCCCTCCTTCTGCTGCCGCTCCCGCTCCTCGTATATGCGCTGCGCCTTGTTGGACTCAAGCACCATCATCTTCTCCAGCTCATCTTCCTGCTTTCGCTGCTCTTCTTTGTGACGCTTCTTCTCCAACAGCTGCGCGTTGCGGATGGCGAGGCACTTTGCCTCCATCACAACTTGATTCATCGCTCGCACCTCCTCAAACTGGTTATCAATGAGGTTCTTCGCCCGCTCCAGGTGAAGGCGCTGCTGCTGCTCCTCCTCAATGTCTTCAAGCGTCTTATCCTCCACGCCGTTCTGACGATGCTGAGCGTCGTACTCCTGCATGAGCTGCTTGTGCTCAATTGCGGCAGCGGTTCGCAGCCGCATGACGCTTTGTAGCGGCAACGACATAACCATCTTCCCGGCGATCATGTCACGTACGATGTCCAACTCGGTGCGAGTGAGAATTGTCGAGTCACGCGGAGCCTTGCGTTCGTTGAGTTCCTTGCGAAGGTCACCATCGGTCTGCCCGGGCCTCCGTGGGGGGAATACACCGGCGCTGAGCCGCGCCATCATGCTGGCCATCGCAGTACACGCGTCCTCCACCCTTTTTTAGCTTTTTTTTTATATTTGTTTTCCAGCGTGCAAGCAAAGGAAGAAATAAATGACGAGCATGCACACGAGGAACAATGAACGTGAGCGTACGCAATAAGAGCAGAATGAAGTGATGAGGCACGCCATTATCATCAGCAACTACGGGTAGAACCCTAATAAAAACGGGGGGGGGGGGGGGGGGATTCGGCCAGAAAGCAGCACTGGCGCAACCGACGTATAGGCGAAGCAAACAGCAGTGGGACATATTCCACAGCTTCCACGCATCCCGCTTCTTCTCCACCTTTATTCTGCGGTTGTGCCTCCTTTACATCGTACTTTTTGCCACGGCACCAGAGGACGCTTTCTTGGGAGGAGTAAACAAAAGTTTCACCGCCGTTTTCGGCACGGGTTTCATGATCTCCATCCGTTCCGCATGCGTTGGACGCTCCATAAGGTCCATCAAGGCGTGAAGCAGATCCTGACGCTTGAGCTCCTCTTGCATCATCTCCAGCAGTGTCTCATTTGACGCCTCCGCCTCCGCCTTCTGCTCAGGCGAGAAACGTGAACGCGACGACCGTGAGCGTCTCGCACCGCCGTCCTTTCTGGGGGCCGTCCGCTGCACCTCCATACTACTCATCAACGCACCCAGAATGTCGTTGACGCGCAACTGCTGCTCCAGCTGCGCCACCCGCGCCTCCAGCCGCTGCATGCGCTGCTGCCTATGTGCGCAGGCAGCGCACGCAGCTTCGTTGTACGGGCAAAACAACCTGCCACCCGTTGACGCTGCGGTATCCCGCAGTGGTGAAACGAAGAGTGCGGGTGTGTTTTCCCCGGTGTTCACGCCTACGTCTCTTACGGTCACCTGCACGACTTCGCCCAGGCCGCCCGACTTCTCAAACACTCTGTACCGCGTTGAGGCCATGCGTAACTAGGCCAAACCCGCCTCCTAACTGCAACATAAAAAAAAAGGGAGGGGGGGGGGGGGGGGGGGGAGGAAAACAAGCGCCAATACAACAGACGACGTGCGCGCACGCACACGCAGAAAGAGCCAGTGTGAAGGATAACACACATTTACACACCTCACACGCACACACAGCGACGTCGCAAAGTCAGTGAAAAAGAAAGAACACACACACACACACACAAAACAAAAAAAAACAAAATAAATTAAAAAATCCACCAGCAAGAAGGCCACACGGTGAACAACAACAAAAAGTTACACGCTCACACACAAACACAAAGGTAATATAATATCCCCCCTCCCCGTGAGCGCGACTGGAGCAGTAGTCGTCTCTCAGAAAAACAAACACATTGGAAACGAACACAAGAAAGACGCACTTCAATAACTGAAAAAAAAGTTTCATTCGCCCTCTAATTGCCCCCCGCACCCACACTCACACGCTCAAATGTATCCACTAGGCCCCTTCCTAAACCAATGAGTAGCTTCTGTCGCGGCAGCTCGTGAAACAAACAAAAGAAAAAAAAAGCCACAACCACGCTTTTTCTTTAAGCCTCTTTGCGTTTATGCAACTGCGAGTGGTGGCGATGGAACGTAAACATCATCACAGCAAACGCGCCTGCATCAAGACACTATGCAGGCTCACCATCGCCTCTATCTTGGCACGACAAAAAGGGCACGTCAGGACATCACCGCGGGTTGGGCGTAGCTTGTTGCTGCATGCCTCACAGCAGCAGGTGTGGTAGCATGGAAGAAACGTCACCGACGGGTTCGCATCAAGGCACAAAAAGCAAATCGAATCATCATCCCCCGTGCTCACTTTAGCTGACCGGGGCGTCGGCAGATGAACCTCGGCGGCCTCTCCCTCCCTAGTGTCATGCACTGCAGAGGATTCCACGGCAGCCTCAGGCCGTGTCTCGCCGTGACTACACGCACCACTCGACGCCGTGCCAGGAGGGAACTCATCGGCAGTGATGTTAGCATCGATATTGCTGTTGATGGTGGGGTCACCAACGGTACGCGGGCTGACAGCATCGGCGGCTCTGGCGTCATGAAGAAACGGCGTTCGCTCGTCCTCCAACAAGGGCTGTTCATCTTCTCTTCTCCGCTGACGCACGTGCAGGGATAACAGCACCAAGCCTCCAAACATTGAGAGCATTATCAGTGCCCCTCCCACACCCATGACAATCATGAAGTAATGCATCTCATTTCTCTCAATATTCTGCATGCTACACAACTGGATGACTTGGCCGCTTGAGCACGACGCGTATGGGGGCTGACACATGGAGGAGGAAATGCAAAAGTAGCACCAATTTCTTTCTTGACAGCTTTCACAGTCACCGTGGGTCACAGCGCAGAGATCTCCGCATCTGGTGTTGGTATCATTTACAATCGCATACTCAGCGCATGCCAGCGCTGAGGAAGCGGACCTCAGTTTATCAAAACACTGCTGCCCCACAGGTTTCTCACAACACCACGCACACTCCTTCATTTCCAGACATTCCGACGCGTAGTAAATAGGTCTGCTGCTACATCTACTCTGCGAAGCTACTGCTCCTGCTGCGGTTGTGGTGATGATTGCCGTCAGCACGGTTATTGTGCAACAAATCCTCAATAACATGCAGAATACAAACAGAAACGGTATCGCCACAACGCCAGCAAGGCGGTCCCAAGGTACTTCGTATAGGCGGCACCAAAGCTGCCCCGTTTGTTACGACCCCCCTACTGGCACCGTGACGGATGAGCCCTTCTATCGCCTACCCTTTTGCCAGATTTCACTCACTACTAGCAGAAGGGGCAAGAGAAGTCGAGTACATTCATACGCGAGAAGAAAGAAAGAAAGAAGAAAGAAAATACGTGCAGGGTCATGTACGACTCTCACCACCTAAATGCTGAGTGGACAATAAACGTTGGTCGTGCTGGTGTGTGTGGGGTGTGCCGGGGATAACACAAGCAAAAAATGAGCAAAATGAGGAGAAAGCGGGATAACAAAAAATCCCCCCCCCCCCCCGCCCAAAAGGAGGAACCACAACAAAGAAGCTCTGCGGCTCTCCTCGGCATATTCGTTTCCATATATATATATATATATATATATATA